GGGTACGGAGATTTATTCAAAATTGCCGACAGCTACGTAAGAACCGAAAGTTTGGACCACTGGACACCACGGAAATCGAGCAGCAAAAGATCTGGTGGATCAAGCGAACTCAGCAAGATGCTCAGAACAGTGCTCACTTCGAGAAAGACAAGCTACAACTTAACCTGCAACCTAACCATCAACACATCTTCGAATGCAGAGGGAGAATCGAAGGGGAGTACCCAGTTTACCTGCCAGACGACCATCCGTACACCGAGAAAGTGGTAGAGCAAGCCCATTCTTTGTCATTACACGGCGGGGTGACTATGACTATGGCAAAGGTTCGTGAAACGTACTGGATACCCAGACTACGCCAGGTGACCAAACGAGTACGAGGTCGTTGTTGGGGATGTAAGAAATTCAGAGTTAAAGCATATCAGTCCCCACCCCCTGGCACCCTTCCATCTACAAGAACCAAAGGATCGACACCGTTCGAAGTTCTAGGTGTAGACTTTGCCGGTCCAATCCGATATCATACGAAAGGGAAATCTGAGAAAAAGGCTTACCTGGCACTGTTCGGGTGCAGTTTGACCAGGGCAGTCCATCTAGAGTTATTAAAGTCACTAGAACTTGGAGACTTTATTGCATGTTTGAAGCGATTTATCGCACGAAGAGGTAAACCGAAGATAATATACTCGGACAACGGATCAACCTTTAAAGTCGCAAGTACTTGGCTTAAGAAGGTGGAGAAAGACGAACGTTTACACTCAAACCTTGCTGACTTATCCATCAAGTGGATATTCAACCTCAGCCGTGCGCCGTGGTGGGGCGGGCAGTTTGAACGTCTCATAGCACTGTTCAAAGCAGCGTTCTACAAAACTATCGGAAATGGCACATTGAAGTGGGATGAACTGGAGGAAGTGGTGATCGACGTCGAAACGGCTCTTAACAACCGACCATTGAGTTATGTCGAGGATGACGTAGAACTGCCTGTATTAACACCATATTCAATGATGTTTCTGAACAATAACAACGTCCCAGAACTGGACCCCCACCACATCGAAGATGGAGATCTCCGAAGAAGCGCTAGGTTTCTCAAACAGTGTAAAGAAGCGATGTGGAAGCGATGGAGTAGGGAGTATATACGAGGACTGCGATAACAACATCGTCGAGCGACCAGTAACGAACAGACAACACACCCACAAGTCGGGGAGGCAGTGATCATAAAGGACGAGCAGAAGAACAGAAACCATTGGAGATTGGCGATAGTGACGGACCTTATTGTTGGAAGAGACGACGTCGTAAGGGGAGCAAAGCTGAAGACCGCGAAAGGAAGTCTCGAAAGAGCGATCCAGCAGTTATGCCCACTCGAATTGTCATGTGATACAACAACGCCACTAAATCCAACCGCGGAGACATTCGAACCAAGAGCAAAGAGATGAGCGGCAGCAGCAGCTCGTCTACGTATCTAACAAGTGGCGGCAAACGAGCAGGAAAACAACTGAATTCAAGGAAAGAACAATTATTAACTTTATTTGAACGATTCATAGATAAAAGTGTCATGTAGCAGGCATGTATATCTCTCCGAGAACATACATGGGGGAGTGTGTTATGAAGTTTTGACACTTTAGTACATTAATTTCGCTATGTTTGGGATTAGTTGATTAATAACTTTATAATTAGATGAATACTGAGAACAACATTGCCTAATATGGTCATCTATTAGTTTTAGCGTAATGATTGACATTTGGATAAAAGTAAACAATATAGGTTTTTATAGTGCATGTGAAAACAGGGCGTATTATTGTGAGACTGCGAGAAATACGAAGAGATTTATATATGTTTTATACGCGTGTTTATTGTGAATTATTGTGATTGTGGAGAACATCTGTTCAGCGGAGGGAACATTCTCTACAGCAGTACAAGTATAAATACAAATGACAAAGCATTTTTAAATCCTAAAACATAATTAAATCATACGGCACATTCAAGATTTTATCATAATATCCTATTTCAGCCGCGTTCATACTGCTTGGCACATTCGCTGCGTTGTATTCATGGCAGATTTATTACTAATAAATCAACACTATATGATAATATATAGAACTCACAAAGTACATAAATAAACCTTTTTAAAGCATGTCATTGTCATTGCAGACTAGAGGCAAAAACCAAAAAGCATTGTCAACCACATATTCAATGTTGAATGAAAGCATCGCGTACAATGTTAAAAGCCGCGTATAATGCTTGAACCACTGCGTATAATTACGTAACCACCGCGTATATTAAAATGGTGAAAGCACCCGGTATGATGGCGAAAGCACCGCGTATGATCGGCTCCTGTTATAAAAACTTCGATGGACTGTATTATCGTAATATTTAATATAAACTCAGGACAAATTTGAACATATTACACAAGACATATTACATCTCAACGTACAGAAAACGTTTCTTTACGCGCCATTTTGCATATATTATATTGATTATGCCACAGCGAACCCTAACGATAATTTCAACAAAACACAAGCATACGTCACACTCCCCCTGTTGGACATGTATCTTATATGGCCAACACCTTACGACTGTTCGTGAGCTTCATTGGAATGTTCTTAATTATATAACACTATGCAGTATATCTACAACTACCCTAAACCTGGTTCATGTCCTTAATCCAATGTCTTATCAACAGTTCACCTTCGATCGCCGCTCTTCTTCTTGGTCTTTCGGATTCAGTTGACTCCTGAGCACCATTCTCTTGTTCCAATTGTACTTCTTCTTTCGCAAGTTTACAGTTAATCTCCATAGGATATAACAGCTGTAATGGACGCCTTAATGTAGTAACTTTCCCTTTCTTGCTCATGACTTGTACAACTGCACCTCTCGATTTCCCATCAGCCGTGCTATTGACAAGTTCCTTTATTCTTCCAATTCTCCAGAAACTACGCGGATGGTTCTCGTCGTGAACTAGTACTATATCTCCAACTTCCACAGAAGATTTCTCTACTGTTTTCTTAGGACTCTTATGTGCATTTCTCAGCTCTACCAAATACTCGTTCCGCCATCTTCGCCAAAAGTGTTCAATAATGTCATTTAGATAGCGAACTCGTTTGTTGAGGTCATTCGTCGATAGGTCGACTTGAAAATCTTCATCATCAGGGTTCTCTTGATGACGATCAGGTAAACTCAGGATCCGTCTTCCGCTCAGAAGATGGGCTGGGGTGAGGGGTTCCTCGACGTCCTCGGAGGATACATAGGATAAGGGTCGACTGTTCAGGATCGATTCTGCTTCCGTGACAGCTGTAACTAGCTTGTCATAAGACAATCTTGCCTTTCCGATGGTTTTCTTCAAACATCGTTTCAATGATCCCACAAGCCGCTCAAAGAAACCTCCCCACCACGGGGCTTTCTCCAGATTAAACGACCACTGCATTCGTTGCTGCAAGAAATATTTCTTCACTTGAGGATCACGCATGAGTGTCATTAACTCTTTGGACGCAGCCTTAAAGGTTTTCGCGTTGTCCGAAACGACAAGCAATGGCGTCGAACGTCGTGACGTAAATCTCCTAAAACTCCTCAGGAAGGCTTGTGATGTCATGTTGGGAACAACTTCAAGGTGTACCGCTCTAGAAACACAGCAGGTAATCAAACAAATCCATGCTTTCTCGTCTAAATCGTTCGTAGATTTCACATATAAAGGACCGACGTAGTCTAAGCCAACGTACGTAAACGGTGGTGCTTCCTTTACTCTAAACTCCGGCAACGGCGGAGAGTTAAGTGCCTTGTATGCTCTACCATCTTGCTTCTTGCAGGTGACACAATTGAAGAGGAGTTTTCTTACAAAGTTCCTTCCACGGACTAACCAGAATTTCGACCGAAGTTCTGTCAATGTTGCCTTTACTCCCCCATGCATTACCCGCTCGTGACAATCCCGTACGATTAGCGTGGTAAGGTAATGAGCCGTTTCTAACAGGATTGGATACTTTGCTGAATATGGCAAGTTCGAGTTAGATAGTCGTCCCTTACATCGGACGGTTCCATTTTCATCAGTGAACAGGCCGAGGTCTCGGTTCCAGGATTTGAAATTCTCGTTCAACTTCATTTCTTCCTGCAGTTCCTTGATCCATAGAACTCGAGCTAATTCGATGTCGGTGCTTGTAACTTCCGAGTTTGTTGGAGGATCTTCCTGTTTAACTCTCGATTTTAGTAGCTTCATGAACGTCAAGACAACAGCCGTTACTCTTAGCAAACGACTCAGGCTACTGTAGTCCTTACAGTTAATAACATTGCTTATGGAATCTTTCGATCCATGCACTATCATCGTTGAAAGTGTCTCTTTGTCTAAAGCTCTCTGGTCCTTGACCTTCATCTCAATTCGACACTCTACAGGTACAACATCGTTATCAATGTTCTCTTTAGCAGGGCTCTCTGTGGCGGACAACCATTTTGGGCCAGACCACCACAATGTAGATGATGCTAGTTGAGTAGGCAGGATACCACGTGACGGAATATCTGCGGGGTTTTCTACACCTGGGCAGTGACTCCAATACTCTACAGGAACCAGCGCTATAATCTCTTCCACTCGACTCTGTACGTATTGTTTCCATTCCTTCTCTTGCTGCGTAATCCAATATAATGCAACCTTAGAATCCGTCCAGCATTGCACCTTCGAGATTTCAATCACAGACTTCAGGGCTTTCTGAGTAACGTTCATTAATCTGGCAAGCACAAGCGCTGACAGTAACTCCAACCTTGGGATCGTTTGTTTAGTTAAGGGTGCCACTCTTGCCTTCGATATCACCAACTGGACATAAGAGGCATTTGGTGTGATGATTCTGAGGTATATTACGGCAGCATATGCTTTGATAGAGGCATCGCAAAACCCGTGAAGCTCATAGGATACAACTTGCTCGTGTATGTCAGAAATATAGCATCTCGGAATAACAACAGGTTGGACGTCCTTTAGGTTATCAACTAATTTCTGCCAATTGCATTTCAGTGTTCCTTCAAGTGGATGGTCCCAGTCACCCTTCGCCAGACAAAGTTCTTGAAACAACAGCTTGAAATTGATTGTCAATGGGGATATAATAGGATCCCATAGGATCATAAATCTTGGAAGAAACACTGATCACATTTCTCTTCGTAGCTTGAACCATCTGCGCCAAATTTGTAACATCCTTGATATCAATAATAAGATTGTCCTCGTAAGAATCCCATAAGATTCCGAGAATTTTCTGCTTGTCATCGCTTGCTGGAAGGGGAGGACCCACGTACTTCCGGTGTAAGATGACTGCTCCTCCTGAACCAACTGCTGGGACTTGTTGCTATCAGCTCTGGCCATGTTACTTCCGTCAGATGCATTGTTCACTGTCACTAGTTGGTTGGTTTGGCATATACGCTCTTGGAGTTCTTTAGCCTTTGCCAATCGGCTCCTTGAATCTTCATAGAGTTTGAATGCATTGTCCACATTTTCACCTCCGGAAATAAGATCATCCACATAGATCGAATTCAGAACAGCTTCCACGAAACTAGGGTCATCTTCCCGGTATTGCTCGATGTGGTGTTTGACTGTGGCGTTTAGTAGAAAAGGACTGGAGGATACGCCAAACACTACTCTGGTGAATCGAAGTGGGATAATCTTAGGGTTTGGGCTGTGTATATCATCGAACCACAGAAATCTCAATGCATCCCTATCAGACTCTGCTACATGAATCATGAGAAAGGCCTTCTCGATATCTCCCGTTAAGGCCACCTTGTATGCACGGAACCCTAGGATGATGTCAACAATGTTCTGAGTCAGCGAGGGACCACTATACAGACAGTCATTAAGCGAAGGTCCTCTTGACTTCGCCGAGGCGTCGTACACTACTCGCAATTTGGTTGTTGCCTTATCCTGACGGATAACTGCGTGATGAGGTAAATAGTGCACTCTCTCGGCTCCTTCATTTGGTTCGGGCACAGACTCCACGATTCCTTTGTTAAGCTGATCTCTTATCACATTGTCATATTCCTTAAGGACTTCTGGCTCATTACGCAGTCGCTTCAGCAACCCTAATAGACGTTTCTTGCTAAGATCATAGTTATCAGGCAGTTCAGCATGATCAGGTTTCCATGGCAAATTGACCACATAATGATTATTTTCATACTTAATGCTTTCTAGGAATTCTTCGTACACACACTGTGGTTGAATACCGAGAGTTTCTAAGTCCCAAAATCTCTTCAGTTCTTGTACAAGGACATCATTCTTACACTCAACTTCTTCGGAGGCACATTTGAGGGTGTGGATTGTAGCAAGATTGCTGGTGTGGGTTAATTGCCGCGGTTCGTTTCCAACAGGCCCAGAGAGAACCCAACCAAGCCTCGTTTGAATGGCAGTTGGACCACTATCTCCTTGTCTGGTTTTCCCGGTCACGATCTTCCAGTAATGATCTGAACCGATCAGGATATCCACTTTCGCATCGTGTTGCCCAGATGAGTAATCAGCTAGGTTGAGGTTGGCGAGATGAGGGTAGGTCTTGCTAGCATTTGACACGAATTGGTTCTTTAATGGCTGACAAATTAATGGCACAGTAAATGCTAACATTTCAGTGTTTGCTCCATAGGCAGTTTCTATTCCAAGATTCACCACATCAATAACTTGAGCATTAGTCTCACTAGAGCCAAATGTTTTTATGTTTACCGACCTTTGACCCTTTGACTGCAGACCGAGAGTTCCCGTCAGTGCACTGCTGACGTACGAGCACTGACTGCCGCCATCCAGGATTAGTCTCGCTTTGACCTTGGGACCATCAGGATTATCTGGGTTATATATATTTGCTCTTGCGGTTTGGAGAAGGACACAGTTCGATGAGGTTGTGTGACAGACAGTTGCGTCAGGATGGGTTCCCAAACTAGGACCTTCCTTTGACTTGTTGGATCCGCTTTGCCCATGTTCCTCAGGAGGGTCCCTAGGAGGTGGTGGAGGTGACTTCTTACCCTTACATATGCTAACATGATGTCGCCCCTTACCCGAGTAGCACCGTGTTGTTGACTTGCAACTTGGACTGATATGATCCTTTCTTAGGCACACAAAACATCTCCCCGTCTTCCGTAGAATATCTTGACGAGCAGCAGGACTAGTCACAGTTGTACAGTCCTTTGATGGGTGGGACCCCCTGCAGTAAGTACAACTTGGATTATTACCGGCCATCAATGCTGAGGCTGAACCGTGATATTTCTTAAAATCCTTGTTGGTTGCAGGTACCTTAATTCTCTCCCTGGCTTCTAACTCTTGCTGCAAGGTATTTAATAGTTTGTCCAAATTCCATTCGTTTTCCTTAACCACTCTGCTAACAACCAGCTGTAGATTTGTTGGTAGCTTGGACATTAACATTGAAGAAAGAAGGCTACCATAAGATTCAGGGGCTACTCCCATAGATTTCAAGCTTCTAATGTGTGATTGCACCGTATCATGAAGTTGGCGCAAACCCTTCAGGTTGTTTTCAGAATTAACTGATGGAAGATTTAACAGAATATCCATATGTCGATTTATAATTTGCTGTTTGTTCCCAAACCTTGATTTCAAAATAACAATTGCCTCTTCATAATTAGCATTAGTTAAAGACAATCCAGCAATGGATTCAGCAGCAGCTCCGTCCATGAAAGACTTGAGATAATTGAATTTATCAATCGGTGCTAAGGAGGGATTGTTGTGGATAGAGGCTTCAAATGTATCCCAGAATGGGTTCCATTGACTAGGATCCCCAGAAAACCTTTTAAGGATTAATTTTGGCAATTTTACTTGTGCTACATGATTGATTGGTTGGACAGCTGGATGCCCCCCAGGGTTATCGGGTGATGCAGATGTGGTATGGTAGGATGCTCTACTGGTTGGGGTTGATTCACAGTTGACATAGAAGGCTGACCCAAATTTGGCATTCCATTTTCATTTGATGTATCAAGCTGACTTGAATATTGATTCTGTAGTAACGACGTGCTTGCAGTGCTAGCACTAGAGCCTTGGGGTGATGTGGGGGCTTGACTGGGTACTGGTGGGGTGTTACTTGTTGTATTTTCAGTCACATTCGATAACACAGCTAAACTAGACATGCTGGAGGTATTAAGTGCTCTTTCTACATTTTCTAAAGCCAACTGCAAGCCTTCTCTACAAATATCGCACTGTTCTATTTCTTCTTCAATATTAGCTTCATCAACTAGTTCAAGAATTTCCTCATCAAGGACCTTTAAAGTTTCAAGTTTTTCTTTCATGCTAGTTTTAAGTTGATTCAGTTTGGGCACAATTTCTTCCAGATTATTTGGGTCAAAAGAAATAAGTACTTCACTCACCGTCTTTTGAAGTCGTGTGGCGGACGCTCGATGAGCCCCTCTTAACTTTTTCTTCCTCGATAAATCCGTGCTCATATTTATACTAACAACGTTTAAATACAGAGACAATATTTGTCCAAAATCCACAAATAACCAGAAAATTTATATAAGAATAACTCCAATAACCTTAAATCTGTTAACAACAGAACTTCTCCAGGCTCGTATCTCCAAGCTTATAAAAGTAAATTCCCCACTAACTAGTGTAGATCTCACGTTACTGCTCAAATTTTGTTCAAATTCCAGACTCCAACTCGAAATGTTTTGAATAAACCACAGGCTCAAATCCAATATTCTCCGTGATAATATATTTAGAATTGCCGGTAATCCGGCTCTCAAAGGACCATGTTATAAAAACTTCGATGGACTGTATTATCGTAATATTTAATATAAACTCAGGACAAATTTGAACATATTACACAAGATATATTACATCTCAACGTACAGAAAACGTTTCTTTACGCGCCATTTTGCATATATTATATTGATTATGCCACAGCGAACCCTAACGATAATTTCAACAAAACACAAGTATACGTCACAGCTCCAACCACCGCGTATATTGGCGAAAGCACCGCATATAATGCCGAAACCACCGCCGTATAATGCTAAAAGCACCCAACAAAATGCCGTTTGATCACTTTAATCCAGCTATGGCTTTGGCTTTCCATTAAAGAAGACCAAAGATGAAAGATCACATTGCCTATTTGCCTTATGCCTGACCGCGCTGCCCCACGGTTAAAATTCACTGGTACCGTCATGCAATGCGTCAAATAGAAAATTTTGATTTCGACCCACAAAACAAAATTAGGATCTGCTGCCTTGCTCGCTCCGGTTCAGGCTCGCTCGCTGCGGCAGCAATAAACGCCGGAAGTTTCCCCTTAGCTCCGGGCCAGGCTTAATTTCCACACCAGGCTTAATATACGCACGTAAAACTTTAAATCTGTAAAATGGTAATGGTAATGGTTTTATTAACACATTTAGTAGTAGTTACGCTAATTTACAATGTGTTTACAAATTTGGGTATAAAAATGTATATATATATTATATATTTACATGTCATATTCATTAAAATTAAAGTTTTACTAATCTATATCTATTTACAATATGTATAAAAACTACTAATGCATACCTATTTGTACATTAACTGATAAAATTTTAAAAATGATGATCCTAATCAACTAATCTAGAATTATATAAGTATATACAGTAAACTAAAGGACTGTGTTTAAAACATAAATAAAGCAACAGAATTTACTGCTCCGCAAGTTTTAGTATGAACTTGTTAACTTATTTAAAAATAGAAGGATTCAAAGTTTTACGTGCGTGTACGTGCGTACGAAAAACGCAACAGTGGAAATCAGCCTTTAGATCTTAACAGTAATGTGCGTCAGTTGTGTTTATCCCAGCGAGTTAACGCTCCACAGAGCGTCTTGTTAACTATCATTCTCGTTAGACCCGCGCTTAGTTGCGTCATTGTCATAAATTGAAGACAGGTGTGACCACCTTGTGCGACTGCAATGCAATAATACTCTTTTCAACCGTTGCGTTATAATCGTGTTAATTCTTCAGAAGAAGTCGCTCGAGGATGGAATCTTATTATTTTATCAACCTCATATTCATATTTTCTGTGAACGTATTCTTCTTTTTCTCAGGAATATGTTTAAATTCCTTGGTCATACTCAGCTTCTGGAGATCTGTACAACTTCGAAAGAAATTATGTTATTTCATGATAATGGTTTTGTCCTGTTGCGATTTCCTCGCAGTTTTAACTAATGGTCCATTGCTGGCGTTTATCACGATGTCATGGTTGACGGGGAAGTCGGACGTAAATGCTGGATGGGCTGATATTCCCTTGAATTCGACAGCTATGTTCCTTGGTTTTTCATTATTCGCTCTTTTGGTGATGAATTTTGATCGATATTTGGCAACATCTTATCCTATCTTTCATCGAACGTCGGTAACGAAGGGAAAACTTTTAACTCTTTTTGGAATACTGATCATCGTCAACATAACTTTGACAGTGATGGCTGTATACTACTTTGTTATTTCCGACAAAGTGTATGCTGTAATTATTTTTATTATTTTTATTCTTTTCATCCCTGCAATGTTATTTATCAACTACAAACTGTTTCTAGTCGTCAGGAAAAGTCGTAAAAACAAAAGAATATCACCCGATATGAAAAAAACGTTTTCTTTGAAAAACATATCGAGTTGTTTGCTAGCAGTCGCTTGTGTTGTGGTGTTATCCATTCCAACGTTCGTTTACATTGGATTAAGAATAAACTCGACAGAGACAAAAGATACTTTGGACAATGCAAACCTTGCATCGTTCTGGGCTATAACCATATCTTTGATGAATTGTACGTTTAACTGTTTAATCTTTTACTGGAAAAACAAGGTGTTACGTACCGAAGGATGGAAAGTTCTGAAAAGCCTGAAAATATGTCGACGGGTTAAATCCTAGGTGCACTAATAACCCTTCTTAAAAAAAAATTAAGGCTCGAAGGGAACTCTACCTATTAGAATTTTAGTTTGTCCTTACACTGTTTTCTCGTGGCTTATCTAACAATATCTTGTCATAGTAAATGTGAACACAACGAACTACACACTTATATTGTTCTATATATTAATACATATAAACATCATCACTATAAGAAAGACAGTAGCTGTAACTAGGCTATATAAGGCACTGTTATGCTTGTAATTTCATCCATTCCTGAAGATGACTAAAATATAGTCGAATAAAACGTAGAAAAATAAAAATGCTTTCATTTCTTTAAATTGTTTCATTATATACAGGGTGTATAAATGTTATTGTGTGTTAAGTATTGTTAAGTATTGTGTGTTAAGTATTGGGTATTAAGATTTAATTTTCCCATCCTATATAAAGATTAGGCATTTAACTATCGAATGAGATAATTTTTTCTATCATTGCTTTAAAAACTGAACTAACAAGACCAATTTAAAATGGCCGATTTTTCTGCCAATTCCATGATAATTGTAAACGCGTATGTCTGAGTGGAATAGCTGTCAAAAGAATACTCAAATAATCAAAATAAGAATAATCTAGTCTTGGCAATTAATTTAAAGCTTTTTTCTTTCGAAGCTAGAAATCATGATTTTTTTCAAATGTTTCCTGGGGTACTTTGTTTTCTGCTCTCTAGAATCCCCCTCGCGGCTCTAGTGCTCCACCCCTAGAATATAGACCTTATTGGGGTTTGGTGACACTTAGTGTTGCTTCAGTCACCTGCTCAAAGCTCACCCCCCTAAAATTTCTGGCACCACACCAGTAAAAAATATGAAAATCCGTCTATGCTTTAAACTTGCTGAGCACGCGCAGTTGATCATTTTTCGCCCAGTCGCCTGAAAAAAAAATACGGTGGCCCGAACGGGGCACCTCTTCTCCGCAGAAACATGCAGCTTCTCCGTACAAACATGCAGCTTCTCCGTACAAACATGCAGCTTCTCCGTACAAACATGCAGCTTCTCCGTACAAACATGCAGCTTCTCCGTACAAACACGTGCCTTCTCCGTTGAATATTTGTTGGTTTTATACGACGGGGGGAGGAAGAGAAAATCAAGTCACAACGCAACCTCGTGGTCTCAAAGGCACATTATAAAGTTTTATACTATATTAGTGCAATATACTGATTTACATATTGATATATGCATGTTGTATTTTAAATTTTCAAATAATTGTGGAGTTCTAATTAAATGAAGTCGCGCATACAATGTGGAGAGCACTTTGCGGATGGGAGCAACTTTTGTGGAAAGAAGCTCCTCTATTATTTTATGTGCATATATATGTATTGTATTATTTGTGCGTGTATGTGTGTATTGTATTATTGTATTGTATTATTCTATTATTTTATGTGCATATATATGTATTGTATTATTTGTGCCTGTATGTGTGTATTGTATTATTGTATTGTATTGTATTGTATTGTGTGTATTGTATTATTGTATTATTGTGTTGTGTATTGTATTATTGTGTATGTATTGTATTATTTGTGCGTGTATTTCTTACCTATGGCAATGCCCAAAGCATCTTCCTTCGGGTCTACCAAAATTGGGCTCTCGACGATTTTTTTGTCCTTTGTGAATGTGTCAGTTTTAGTGTCCACTGGTGATTTTTCTCTTTGAAAGTAATTCATTATACTACTTGTTTGTGTTACTCCAGTATCACCCATTTTCATCTAGAAAACAAGCATTGTTCTATTAGTACAGTGCATCAGGGCTTTCTGTGAAACTCGATTTGGCACAAGCTATAGCAAACCAGGAAACTTGAAATTTCAATGCTCTAGAGTGACCAGACCAGTGCATAATTACTGGAGGAACCTAAGGCAGCAAGACACAAGTGTGTAGTCTATTTGACAATCATTTTACAATCTAATTTTGTCTCTATTTAATTTTTTGTTTTAGCTTCAGATTGATAGGGATACCAGAAATATACAAGGAGAACTTTAAAATTTTGAGTGAAGGCCCTTTGTCAGGAAGTTAGTAGCGGGGGATTACACGAGCCTTTATACTACTTAGTAGTGAACATAAAAGTGATCATGTGACAAAAAATCAACCAATCAGATGGATTTAGTCAAAACAAAGTGCAAGCAAAATTAAGTGCAGTCCGTCACATCACGGCAGCGATGTTTTGCTAATTTTAGAGATGGTTGTCCAATACTGTCGCATGCATACGGATCGTTCGTTTCGCGAAATTTTGGGCACGGATGGAACACTTGTATAGTCATAACGGTTGGTAAAGACTGAACGTCGATCCGTACGATTGGTAACGGATGGACCGGGCTTCACGATCGGAAAATATGAAATGTCGATCCGTGAATCTAGTGTTAAAGCTTGGGTGTGGCTACGGGAGGTCTCAAAAATGTTGTCGATCCGTACGATTGGTAATGGATGAACTGGAAATTCACGATCGGAAAATATGAATTGTCGATCCGTGAATCTAGTGCTCAAGCGTTCTAGTGGCTAAGGGAGGTCTCAAAAATGTTGTCGATCCGTACGATTGGTATCGGATGGACTGGGAATTCACGATCGGAAAATATGAATTGTGGATCCGTGAATCTGGTGCTCAAGCTTGGGTGTGGCTAAGGGAGGCCTCGAAAATGTTGTCTATCCGTACCATTGGTAACGGATGGACTGGGAATTCACGATCGGAAAATATGAATTGTCGATCCGTGAATCTAGTGCTCAAGCGTTCGAGTGGCTAAGGGAGGTCTCAAAAATGTTGTCGATCCGTACGATTGGTATCGGATGGACTGGGAATACACATACATTTAGAAATGGGGGAACGGTCTTGAAAATCAAATGGGCGTGGTCACTCGATTGGGCGTGGCTTCATGCATAGTCATAGTGAACAGTACATAAATCTACTTCAAAAACTAAGCTATTGCGTAGTACAACATGTCCCTAAAAACACCTAGCTTGTGCGTGGTAGATGTCAAAAAGAAAATAAAACCACAATGACTTTCGAATTTCGATGCTATGCGAGTAACTCGGCAAACAGGCGACTTTGCAAGTTGAATATCACGTTTTCGCGAGTAACTAAATAAGCTTAGATAATAGATATCCTTTGATCCTATCCATTCAATCATGTTAATGTTCTTATTGAATCATTTTATGTCCCCATTGATCATTTTATTGTTCATTTGAATATTTAATTTCGCGATTGTGCGAGAGACGTTATCCGCGCTTATGACTGGTAAGTACCTATCTAAGCGGATGTCAATTATCAGACTCTCGTATTTTTGTGCTAGTCTGCTAGAATTTTATGCAAGTATATCAAGTTTCAGGGAGGATGCTGAGCAATTATTGCCAAAAATAACATGTATGTAGAACAAGTGATGCCAAAATTATTTCTTCACTCATATTTAATCCCTGCCAGGGGGAACAGCGTTCCCCCACGTTTGATTTTGGCAGGGGGGATGCCGTTCCCCTGGTAAAAAAGGTGAGGGGACGGCGTTCCCCCGCGTCCCCCCTGGAAAACATCACTGCATCACGGACTATATTTATACAAATATAGAGAAAACTACAACAAATACAAAAAAAAAAACACAAAAAAATATACGAAACAAGTATGGAAAAAGTTAAGAATTTAATTAACAGTACTGTTAATGTCTGCTTTGACAGGCAAAGACAGACAGAGCTAAACATAAGAAACAATCTGTCTTTGCCCGTCAAAAGAAGACATTGACAGTACTTTAAATTAAATTCTCACATTATAATTTTATTATAATTATTCCATACTATTATTCATGTATTTTTTGTACGGTATTTGTTGCAGTTTTCTGTATATTTGTATTAATATATTCTGTAATGTGATTTACATAATCTTTTTTACACTTTGTTTCAACTAAATCCATCTGATTGGTTTATTTTTTGTTACATGGTCACTTTTATATATTCAAAGTTCTCCTTCAAGTAGTTGAATCAATCCACAGCTTTCTTATCATTGGCTAAGGATGGGCTAATACCGATACCAAATACTCAATACTATCGATAGCAGGGTTTTGAAGTAAAAGTTTCGACACTGGCAAGAAATACCGACTGTTTCAATACTTCTGAGCCTGTGATATTTTTCATTTTGGTCAGCAGCCTCATCATGAAAATGATAGGATATAGATTCATGTCTCGCTGTTTATGAATTAGGGTTAGCGGTTAAGGTTAGCATTCATAAAGAGCGAGACATGAATCTATAACCAAATGATACCAAAAAGCCTAAATAGACAAAAATGCTATAAAAGTAGTTCGAAAAGATGAAAAGTTTTCCCGTGTACTGAGATCTCACTTATTGACAGGCGAGATCTCTGTGACCAGGGTGTTTTTCCCATATGAACACAACATAGCCACAACTTTCCCGCGGGAAAACTTCCTGTCGCATCAGAAACTTCTTCACATGAACAGAACAAAATTATTTGGCTATTTGCTGTGTTGGTGTAGTGTATACTCAGGTGAATAAGATGCTTGCAATGTTACTCTGAGTGTGTATCCACACCAGGCAGGCTTGAAAAATATACCTGGCCATGGTGGGAATCAAACCTACGACCTCTGGAATACTAGCCCAATGCTCTGCCAACTGAGCTACACGGTCAGGTCGGTTCGAGTATGCGATATTTCGGAACTGAGTCTAACCGAGATTGGAACTTTTCCCCATATGAACAGGCCCTAAGTCTATGTGACTACATGACTATTTGTAATCAAATTAAGTCAGGGTTTATATAAAGGAAGGGTTTGGATATTAAAGAGTCGGGCATTAAATAATCTTTTCAGTTATCTTTTCTACTCAGGGGCGGACATATCGATTTTGACTGGGAGGGTGTAGTCATAAAATGAGACCGACCCACCACTGAAATGTGAATCCAGACCGACTCTTGGTGAGTTGGTGTGTTGCAATAAAATTGAGTACAAAGCATGGAAATTGATGGCATTTATTAGGAATTTTGCAAGAACACGTACAGTTTGCTGTGAAACGTTATATTTTTATTAAATGTCCGCGCTTAGTAAGGTTTGACCACGGATTAGCGATTTCGTCTGAAGATCGATCGTGTCTGTTAGATCGCGCTCACACGCAAGAGTCAAGAGTTCACCAAGGCTTTCCTGGTTCATTACTGAACACATAACAGTTTTCACTGATTTCAGCTTTGAAAAGCTGCGCTCGGCTGATGCGGAACTGTCAGGTGCGTAACTATAGGATTTTTGATTGACTGAGACACTTCTGGGGGGTCTGGGGGCCCAAATTTTTGATTTTCTAAGGCTTAGAAATGCTATTTCCTGCATTCTGGGAGCAGTTCAAAGGAAAAATCAATTTCATATTACAGTGACACAATGACTATAATTTTATAATGTAGTTTGCCCCCAATCCTGAGGATAAGAATTACAAATATTTTTGGTCGAACATCATTGATCAGGTGCATAATAAAAAAGCATTTGTGCTCAATTGTTGTAATATTTGGGCGCTGGCCCGCACTTTTGTTATTGGGGTACTTGTACACCCACACAGCCTCCCATTTCTTACGTCACTGTAGGGCAAGAATAATGCTTCTTTACATGGAGAGAACTACAGTCTGTCATTGAACTTGAACTCGATTGACTCATTTACCTAGTTATGGGCCTGACTGTAAGCAACAATTGGAAACATCGCTTAGTCAGTGGAAACAATTTTTCGCTCCGTTAATAATTTCTTGATTGCAGTAGGCACAAAAAACTCTTTGGTAACAAAATTCATATGCATATTGTGTTACATGTGAACATACTTCCTAATATAACTCGGCTAGAAATTCGTTTTTGCACTTTGCATCTTAAAAATATAGTTTAGGGACCGGAGAAATATTGTGATAAGATATTTGATCGAGATTCATCGCGTTTGGTAGTAGAGTAAAGTAGATATCTCCATGTTTGGAAAGTAAATGGAATGACTGATAATTCGTTCATAAACTTGCAAAATAAGTACGTAATATTTCTTCATATTATTTCTGAGCTGTTTGATGCGTTTGAGCAAATTTCCAACTCAATACTCAATAGTTTGAGTCTATCTCGAGTTTCGAAAATATTTCATTTGCTTCGCAAAACACTGCGTGTAAACAAGCGCATAATTGTGAGACCGACTGCACATAGTTTGAGACCGACTGGATCATTTCTCGGGGGGGGGGGGTGAACACCCCCCACATTTACGCCCCTGTTTCTACTGCTAGATTATTATTTTTACCATTTATAGAATGACATTTATAACGCCCGTATTCTAAAAGCTCACTCACACTCAATGCGTGGAAGTTCAATCTGAGCTTCTCTTGAGTGTCAATGCTATTTTTGAATTGGTACGACACTATTAAACCTATAGATATGCACTAACCCTCCAGCTATTCAAAAACAGCAATGACACTCGAGAGAAGCTCAGATTGAACTTCCACTCATCGAGTGTGAGTGAGCTTTTAGAAATTAGAATACGGGCGGGAAGCTTCGAATTGGCACTCATAAACATTCATTATTCGTATAATGTTTTCTTACCTTATTTTATACGTAAATCCGTTTAATATATCGAGGTGTTGACTTTCTTGCGCCTAACAAACAATGCCATGCTATTCCTTCTGATGTCTATGAACTTCGTATAAACAAACATTATAAACTTGCCTTCGCTGTGAAATACTGTAGGTACAGACCTTTTAAACCCAATATTTATTAAATTCGATTATTCTTTCCATTCAATAAATAGTAATAAAGGAATAAAAGACAAAGGTTGTGAAATAGTAGGCAAAGCTGGCCAGAAATCGATACAAAATATGAAATTTATTAAGAAAAATATAAATTTCATCAAAATGGCGCCAAATTGCTACAAGAGCCCGCGAAATTTTGTGAACACCAGCGGACTCCAAATAATTTAACCAAGACCACAGAATCTTATTCTATGACCAAGACTACCTAGACTTTTTAAAAAAGAGGAGATTTTCTGATTTGCACATGAATTTCTGGAGAATAATCTGACTTGAATAAAACAAAAACTAAGAAGTTCGGAGTTTTTAAAAATGTACTCTTAACAGCCGTTGCTATGGCAACAATAGGGAACTTTAGATTCGCTACGGCTACGAAATCTAGTACGACTACGAGATTTTTTCCATTAAATATCAGCTAGACCAGCTACTAAAAACTTATAATAGTACGTGGTTTGGTGCAACTGTTGCTATAAAGATGTGGTATGCAAAAGAAAGGACGATAAAAGTCTGTAGTAGCAGATATTTAATGGAAAAAATCTCGTAGTCGTACTAGATTTTGTAGCCGTAGCGAATCTAAAGTTCCCTAATGACGTTTCAATGTGGCGGATATTTTTGGTTTAATTGGAAAATAAGGTCGGTGACGCCCATTTTTTATTTTATAGCATGATTTCTTTTAGTATGTTGAATCATTTTTCTGATTTAAAAAAAATTCTGTCATGCCAAAAAATTTTAAAATCGGAAAATGTAATAATTCGTAACAATCTCTTTTTCGCATGACAGAATTTTTTAAAAATTATAAAAAAATACTAAACAAATTCTTTTTACGAAGTAAAAAATGGGGGTAACCGACCTTAGTTTCAAGTTAAATAACTATTAATATTTGGGGTTATCCCCAATACTTTGGCATGACTTACGATTTCAAGTTCTTATTGATTTATGGTCAAGGGAAGGTCAAGGGATGACAAGAATTTTCCACTCCGGATAATTAGCCATTTCCCAATCAAGCAGAGGACTGGGTCTAGTTGATGTTTGAAGGGACAACAAGTTGAATAAGTTATAGCGAGCGAGCTAAATATATATTAAAAGATGCCTTGTTATAATTGTTGCATTTCAGGCTGCACAAATAACTTTAGGAATGTAGGAAAACTTCCTACATGTAGATGCCATATTCGGCATATTGTTTATTTTTTGGCCCTCCAAACAAGCGACTAGACCCAGTCCTCTTCTCGATTGGGAAATGGCTAATTGGATTCGCATTTCTTTACACTTTTTTTCATTCAGTGTAAATTTTAATTGTGCTGATTGATCTTCGATGCTGTCATTTCACTTAATGATCCTTTGCCTTTGAGAACCACTTGGCTGCTGTAAAGTCGTCGACATATTTCCAATGATCGTTACCATCGGTGTCCTTGATGGAATTAAAATTGTAGAAGGGTTTTCGAATATGAATTTTTTATAGTACATTTAATTATTAGACATTAGATCTAACTAGGAGCAGTTGCACACATAGGCCCTGTGATTCCGGTGCAGCGCTCTAACCAAATGCAACTGAGCTATAGAGGCCAGGGGCGGTTGTATAAAAACGTAGTTAAAGTTGACTGCAGTGTTAGCGTTAACTATCGTAGTCATGGGCGTACCGGAAGGAAAAATTTAGGGGGGCGGCAAGAAATTTGCCCGACTTTTCCGGATTTTACCCGACAAGTAACAAAAAATTTTTTCCGGAACTTGTTTTGGCGAAAAAATTTCGGTCAGTGTACCATTTTTGGGGTCAAAAAATTTTTCCGGACATACCATAATTATCCGGAACCCACAAAATTTTGGGAAATTTCACAAAATGTTCCGCAAAATTCACAGAATTTGTCCCATTTCCGCAAAATTCATAGAAATTGTCCCATTTATTTTTGTAATTAACCAAAATTGCCCGACTGTTCAGCGAATATTGCCCGACTGCCCAAAAAACTGGGGGGGCTACCGCCCCCCCCCGCCCCCCCGCCCGGTAAGCCCATGACCGTAGTTAAATCCTTAATGGTTAGTCGGATGGTAAACTTTTCCCAACGCTTTTTCGCCACCCCCTTCATCTTCGTTCCCAGGCCTTTCGGCCGAGCCCGACCTTCATAGGCCCTGGGACCATAGATATCTTATATACACCAGATAGTGCATCTAATTCAGTATTCTGCAATTCAAAAATTGAAGCCGTGATTGCAGACTCAAGAGTCAGGATAATCCCATGACATGAGAAGATTCATATGTTTTCTATTTCTTAATTAAACAGGAAACTTAAACAGTAAGTTAAACCTATTCCAAATACATTTTTAAACTATTAAAATGATGAAAGCTATTCTTGTTTTTTAAGCGTTTATTAGCGAGTGGAAACTACCAACATGGCCGCCATCTATTCAAATGGGAGTAACCGCTCGAATATTCTTGGCTTCAATTTTACTAAAAGAGATGCGTTATCTAGTGTATATATAAGATATCTATGGGATACGTCTATTAACTGTGGATACACGGAACCAGAAGTGCAAGAAAACTTGCAGTAGTTTCTAAGGCGTATACTCCCGAATTCGGACTCTTTAGCACCCGTAACAATTTTCACAGCCAGTTGCGGAAATCTCGGTGGGGCGGGGGGTCGGCCGCCCCC